CGAGACGCAACGCGCGAAGAGCGTTACTATAATGTGGAGTGACCTCTCGGTCAACGATGTTTGGGGGCTGTACTGCCCAGTGGGCACAACTCTGGGCCAAAATCAGCTGCATGATAAAATCGCTTGACATGGCGATGGGGGTCAGCTGGACTAAGAATGGATTTGACAAAGTAGCCCCCAGTGTGTTCTCTGAAGGCAATAACCCAGAAGATCAAAACGACTGGAATCCAGTTAGGCAGAAATGACGGCCCAGCAGGGATTGGTAGACCAGAGCCGGTAGAGATCGTCTCCAATGCAGATACTGTGTCACATGGGTCAACGGCCTCTAAAGCGAGCAGGCTGAGATCTTCGAAGGATGCGTCGTGATCATCGTGGCGAACATGTCGCTCCCCGCCCACCAGGGTCGAGATAGCCGGCAATGGTGTACTCGGAGTTGTGGAATTACAATACTCAAGACTGGAGAGCGTGCCATTGCATGTGCCATGACTATCAGTCAGCAGTTTGGGGATAAACTTAAGACCCAGTGGCACCAATCCTATACTGCTCCCATGTGGATCTCATATCAAGACCGTCAGTGATAGAGTCTTGGCGTATCCACTGCCTGGTAATTAGTCGCACTTTCCACTAACATGTCCGTGTCGGCAAGAAAAAGTATTCGCCCTATCCTTTTAAAGTGGGTCTATGTTTAGTATGAGCGCATCTATTGAGCAATAGAACTCCAGTGTCGGCGCAACATTGTTGACAGAGAACAGTGTGGCTGACAAGCTTGTTTATTAGATGTGTTCATTTTATTGCCAAGAGCTACTTTTTCTCAAGTTAGCCAAAAAGGGAAGAAAAACGCGAGACCAAAACAAAAGAAACTGGAGTAGGAAGGGGAAAGGGGAGGTGGGAAGAATTCCGCATCATCCGCTGTGGATGTGTGTCTTGCGTTGAGTGGGAGGCGTACCAGAGCTTTATGGCGCTGAAGCACATATCCGATTTGCAATGTTTTGGCTTGGTCTATCTTACCTGATCAAAGTTTATTAATTTCTATTTTCCCCCCCAGAGAGTTCCCTACCCATATCGGCAGCTAGGAGCAATCCCTAATAGCCGAAGGTCATAGTCTTTCAAATAAGCTTCATTTTCTTCATCGCGTATATCTGTTTTCATTCCAACATGGACACCTCAGCAGCCCTACCGGCGCACCGGAGCCACGAACTTGACTTTCATCTTGAGGGGTTTGAAAATTACATAGTAAAGGGAAAAATCAGTGGTTTTCTCAGCTTTCCAAGAAAGCGCCTAGCACGCAAGTAGGCCTCGGACTGGCCTGGATGTCACTATTTGGTGTCTGCGAGGTTCAAGAGTGCGACGCGTTTTAGTCCCGCATATACTGTTTGGTCCACGCGGATAATAAAGACGTCTTGTTTTAAAGAGAGGCCGTTTTGGTCCCGAAAATAAGCTCATGGTGTCTATTCAGCTGTTCCTCGATAGCAGCTATATCTAGAGTCTAGCTCGTTTATCCAGCGCTTTGTTCCGCTTCCAGGTCACTGATCTCTCGGTCCAAAATCTGACGGACATTTACCAACAGGCCAGGTGTACTAATAGTCTCTCCAACACAATGCCTCACGTTTCAGTGAGGCCTGCTTCCCCAAACAACGGTTTAATAAACTGACGAATAGAAGGATCCATCCATCGCAAGCGAAATTCAGACAATCTGCTGCTTAATGGAGAAGCTCCTCGAGCGGGAAGACGGATTAAGGTAAGCGCTAGAGGAGCTTAAGTTCCGGACAGAGGACCAGTTCTCGCACAAACAAACATGCGACCATTGCGCCGATCTGAGAACAGTGCTCGCAGGGATCAAACAGACATCCATGCATCATCTCGGAATCGGAACGCGGAAACTCATTCTTTTCCGCATATTACTCGTTTTAACTACTAGCCACAAAGGCAGGCCCCGTTGTTTCGACTCATATTCATACCCACAAAGTCCGAATGTCGCCGATATTCCCTTAATGGAAAATACCATCAATTTACTATCCAATTGTCACGGCTCCCAAACCAACATCTATCTTTGTGGCAGCATATAGAGTCGGATAGCCACTCGCCTGAGGTTATGCATGACCTACTTGATAATGTATTGTGTCCTAAGTGGGTTTAATTTAATATCTGAAGTGAGTGCTGACATCGGCTTAGCGAGAAAATAATTTATGACATGATGCGCTGGAAATACAAGTTCTTTAGAATAATCTTAATCCAATTAGTAACAATAAGGAAGAAGAATCAATTCCTGATGACCACCCCACTCTCCAGTCCCCGTCTATCAAAGCACTGCATGTTATTTCTGGCTCAGAAAATGATGATGTGCCTACTTGTCTAAAAATAGCACTTAACTATGTGTATCTAGTAGGGCTTAAAAGCGCTCTAGGCTTCTGGAGGGGTATAAAACTAGTCAAGTATAGCTATATAATCAAAATTAGTTTAAGCCTGGATCACCTCTCTCTCTAAATCTTTAGGATTCTAATAATTCTCATGTCTGCAATATATCTACTCTTTTTGATGAAAACCAAATACTAAAAGTACGGCTGGGAATCGCATAAATAATATCAACATATATAGTATTCGGAATACACTAGTAATTCTATGGCCAAAGAGATCAATGCATGAGAGTCTGTTTCCTGAATAACTAGAGCAAGCTGGGCAACTAAATACTAATTACTGAGCATTTTGGCCACGTATATCAATAGCCAAAATAGGAAAAATTGTCATATAGATAGAATCATAGAAATCGGTAGAAATTGTCACGATCCTGCGTCCTGCAGGGTCGCGATACCCTAAGAGCCTACCTCACGTTACTCAAGATCACAGGACGCACCACCATCATATCTCTGAATAGTGATTTCCTAATAGCTCCGTTTTCCCTCTTTAGCTTAGAATCTCGCAATGCAGCCACCTTCTGAAATAGACTGATTCCTTATCTAATCCTAAAGTAGTTGGGCCGCCAGAAATTATATATCAGAAGCCATATCACTCAACTGAGAAGCTCATCCTAGTGGAAACCTTACTAGCCAGCCAATTAAAATGCCGCGTCCTTCGAAAAAATTGATCTCCAACGCCCAACACAAGGCTCTACGAGACTGGGTGCAAAGTCAACCTCGTCGTCGTCCAACACAAAAAGCCTGTATAGCCTGGTTTTCTGCTAATTATAATTATTAACTAAGCTAATCTACTGTTTCTGATATTCTGAGCTCTCAATATCAATATCTTGACTCTGAATCTAGCCCTTCTACTACTATTCGCAAGAGTACTGGCCAGTGGTAAGATCTTGAAAATATCCTTTTTGAATGGCAACGTACACTTGATCTGAAAGGTGCTTATATCAGTAGTGATATTCTTATTGAAAAAGCACATCAAATCTGGAGCTCTTTACCACAGTATCGTGACCAGCCTCCGCCTTCATTTAGTAACGGATGGCTACATCGATTCAAGCAGCGCTATAATATCAAGCAACATACACTAAACGGTGAAGCAGGCTCAGTCCCAGAGGAAACTGAAGAAGAGATAAAGGCGTTATGTACAATTATCAACGAGTATAATGAGGAAGATATCTATTTCAAGGATGAGTCAGGTTTTTTTTGGCGTATGCCTCCATCTCAAAGCCTGACTTCTACAAATAGGCCTGGGATCAAGAAGGATAAATCCCAGGTTTTAATGATATACTGTGTCAACGCCTCTGGAACAGACCGATTACCTATCTGAGTTATTGGTAAAGCACGTACACCACGGGCCCTCCGCAATATCAATATCTCTGCAATTGGAGCTCAATAGCGATGGAATAAGAGGGCCTGCATGAATCAGGTTATCATGTGAGAATGGCTACTAGCATTCTATAGCCATGTTGGCCAACAATCTCTACTTCTTACTATGGATAACTTTTCACCACATCTATCTGGGCTAGAATTAGCACCACCGCCAGCTAATATACACGTCTGCTAGCTGCCAAAGAATTCTACTAGCCGGTATCAACCACTTAATCAAGGGATTATTCAGAATCTCAAGACATATTACCGGAAGCAGTGGTTAAAGTATATGCTATACTACTATGAAAGGGACCTGGATCCACTGGCTTCAGTGACAGTCTTAGACTGTATTCGCTGGCTTGTACGGTCCTGGAACCATGATGTTTTGAGCTCAACAATCATTGCATGCTTTTATAAGAGCACACTGGTTCTCAATCCAGTACAGCTCTCAGTTGAGACTCCTAATCTATCACAGCTTTATAACCAGGTGCAGCATAGTGGCCGATTATTAAACTATATGGATATATCATCCTTTTTAAAACCCGTGGATGAATCTCTGGAGCTTGCTGGTAGTGAGGCGTGGGCTATCATCTGAGGCTCTACTTGAGCAACTGATTACAGAAGCCTCAGATACTACTATAAATATATATTCTGATGATGGGGTTGATGCTCCAGAACCAGCACCTCTTCCAAAGCCATTGGATGCTTTAAACGCTGTACAGCTGTTGATTTCATATATAGAGAGGCAGGATACATCAAAAACCCCTCTTCTTCGGTCTCTAGAGCGTTTTGAGTGTGAGCTAGAAAGTGAGATTATTGCATCAAGGATTCAGGGTACCCTAGATAGCTGGCTTGCTTAGATAAATATAATTACTTCATTTAAGCGATATTCTCAGATAGCCGATATAAAACGTAGGCCTGGCTTTGTATCGGCTAACCGGGGCCGCACTGTATTGTAGGTTGGGCCCAAAACCCGCGCCTTGGCGGCCCGCGCGTTTTGGCGAGGTCTAGATATATCATCCTGCCTTTCTTCCCCTCAGGAACCGTAACATAAAGGAATGATCTGGATTGCAACTCTCTTGGTTATTGCTGATTTTCAAATCAGGAGATACTGTTTATCGCTTGCAATTGAGACCTGAGAAGTAACCTGAACAATCCGATATATCTGTTGGTCAGCGATGCTGCAGCACCTCTATTGCTAGTTGAATTGCTGACATCATAACTGTTCGACTGGCCCAGTGGTTAAGGCGTCTGTGTATGTTTACCTAGGTACCGATTCTTAATGTAATTAAACTAACAATACCCTCTTTAGCTTACACACAGAAGATCCCAGGTTCGATCCCTGGGTCGAACATCGAATTGACCTTTCTTTTTTATTATTTTTTACATCCATAACGTAATCAACCACTGAGGCCACGCCACGAGGTGTAGGTAAGTCTCCGTAAAGAAAACTCACAATATAGCAATTAAAGCGATATATTACATTTGATATATATACAAGCCCTATTTTGTGCCTAGTATCAAAACTTACCATATCACTCATAATCCTATATTTTAGTCGTTTCCCTAGAGTTTTGACGACGAATATTAATTACTTTCAGCACTTTCAGCACTTTCAGCATTCTGCCCATTCCCATTCAATAGCATGGGGAGAGTTAGTTCGCTTCGTGACTATCACAAACACAATCACTTGTCTGCTTATCCGGCACCTGTGATAAGCGTACCTGCCCACTCTATCGTTTATATGTTCATTCTGGTCCTTTTCCTCGCCCGAGCCGCCTATCTGCGCCAGGGCCTTTGGGCTATGCCCTCCTCGGTATTCAGTACCTGCTGGGCGTCACCTAGTAGTTCCTAGGTTGCTCTCTCTACTACCCCTCCCCCCTACTTTCTGCTTCCTTCACCACTTCCAAGCCCCTAATATCATTCCTTGAGGCCCTGTTTGCTTCCTGTGCTGCCTCCCCTAGGAAGCAGCCAATGTTTGTTGCCGCGAGGAAGGCTAGTAATGCCTTAGTTGCCCTCTGGCCCCTGAAAAGGTGGCTCTTTAGGGCTGCTTCTCCTTGTCCTGGTGGTGGTACGCCTGCCCTAGCTAGGGCCACCCTCTGGCTGCCCCACTGCCTGTATTCTACTAGCAGGTGGCCTGCTGTCTCCTGCGGAGCCTGACAGTTCTGGCATCTAGGTGAGACCTGGCCCCCTATTTGACGGAGATATGTGGCCACAGCTGTGTGCCCCACATTTAACTGATAGTAGCGGCGTGCCAGCTGCTTGGTTTCGGCTGCTGCCACTTGATCTAGGCTCCATCCTTTGCGCTTGGTAGGTCTGTTGAGCCCTAGGTGATCTGTGTACTAGGGTCTTTCTAAGCCATTCTTGCATTTCTATCTGACTTGCCTTTGTACAGGACTGCCCGATTACATTTTAAGAGCTTCGGTATTTTCTAACTAGCGGATATACTATACTAAGCAAGATAAATATATAATTATTGTAAGAAATTTACTTCAAAGGCTAAATAGCGTTAATAATGAACGTTCTCTTTCCCGTGGCCATGGACTTTTGATCTCAATCTCAACAAAATCTTTTTAGTACCCAGGTATCATTGTGGTTATAGGAGAACAAGTCTCGCAATGCTTCCTAGAAATCCCTCTGTTGCTTTTGAGGCTGCAGAACTTTGCAAGCATACTTGAAGGCACTATTGGTAAAGGCAGATGCTATCTTATAAGTCTTCATCAAAAGCTTTAGGAGCTAATGTTATTTTGCTCTTCCTTTGCTACCTCTCAAAGACAAATCTGCTATCCAGTGATTGTTTTTTTAATTCTGGACTCTACTCTGTGCTAAAGTCGACCTTTGATTCTCACCCTGTTTCTTCTTCTCCTTCTCTATCTCTGCTGATTGTATAGCTGTACATGAATTTCGTTCTAGTCAATTAGTATGGCCGGATCAAATATACTGACTTCAACTTTAACACGCTATATTCCGGTTACGGCCAAGGGATTATTGAATAGAATGTTTCCTGGTGTGTAACCTGGGATACAGAACCTTGGCGTGTCTGCAATTTTTATAAGTTGGAGGAACTATTAAGTCACTCTGAAATAACCTCAGAGCCCCACTCTCTCTTTAGTCTCTATCCACTGCCTGGCGAAATTGGAGCATTTCCCTCTCTACTCGGAACTGTAGAAATGATCACAAGGTACTTTTAGCGCAATTGGCGTAGTCCTAAAGACTTGGTGGATTGAACATCCTCGTTAGGAGCTATAGACATTCTGGTAAATTCACCATACCTGTGAGATTAGATCATTAGCTTGTGAATGTAGGGCCCTAAGAACTTGAGTAGGCCTGAAATGACCCTCTCGCTCGACACCAGTTTGAGAGGAGCGGATTGAGAGTACTCAGAAAGCAGAAGGAAATGATGATGGTGAGGATTGTCAGAAGTTCTTGTATATACTACCCGCGAAGGCTGACCTCTTGGAGGTCAGGCACAATCTACTTTAGGCATAGACATTATTAACATTCGCGAACCATATTTTTTCAACACTAGCTCTAAACCTATTCGCGGATTGACATGCTGAGCACTAGCTTAATCTCACTAAGCTATGATTTACTAAATGACAGTAAATATGCGCCATGACTGCGCCGTAACTAATTTTAGACTAGTTAATTTCCCCGGCGAAGAGGTGTTGTCTGTCTGTCACGATGTAACATAGGGCGAGGATTAATTGCACTAAAATTTGCCAACCCACACCTGCGTTAAGACACACAGGATCCATTCCAGATTCGTAATGAACAACTCACTGCTAATACATGCTATTTAATACTACTAGCAGGTATTCAAAATTAAGTGGAGAGCAAATTTGCCTATGTGGTAATACGCGTCTCACTTATGTTGGTTCATTCCTAATTACGGGAGGCTGTGCTATCTGAGGCATAACTATGAAGAGAGCAAAGTAAGTAGGGAAACGAGCATCTGAGTTACAGGCAAGGCTTTTTGGCCATGACAAGTAGCAAGCTAATCTCGCCCCACTATTTTGAACTCGTGAAGTAGGCTGTCAGATCGATCATCTGTGTTAGGAGAACCCCAGGTTCCAGCGTCAATGGGCAGATCATACCTCCCCTAGGATAAGCGTCCAGCCACATGCCTAGCTAGTTTTTGGTTTTTTTTCTTTCGTATTTTTTCTGCTTCCTAGACTCATCTGTTATTTAACATTATTATAACAGGCCCAGACGGGCTTTACCGCTAGGCAACAACCAACATAAGGGCACATAGTGATGACCAATAGGTCCTCTAGCGTGCGTACTATATAGGAGGGACAGGTCCGTGACAGCTACCGCTATATCTGATACTTTCCTAGAGCTTATTCGTCTACTTCAAATTTTTGCCTAACTTTGCACTTTAATTGCTTTCCATGGTTGACATGGTATCACTGGATTAGTTAGTAGCTAGCTCCTGGCTCTTGCTTTTATTCCGGTAGTTCCCCTCCTAAACCGCCGTGACTTTTACATGCGTACTCATGTACCTCAATGACATAACCCAGGTCCTGACTATGGCTCTTCGTCTGTTATGCTTCTTTGGGGGAGGCATCTCTGGGCACTGGAAATCATGGTCCGAGAAGAGACAAAAACATACTTTAGTGTTCATCCTGGCAGGATTTATGTTTTTCCTTGCTCTGAAGCTAGGATTTGGCCTGTTCTACACTGATTACTGGGAGTGGGAGACAACGTCCCGCTTCTTGAGCTCGCCCAACGCCAACGAAATCCGAGACAATAGTGATGATGATCTTTGTGACTCTTTCCCCTCATACCATCTCTCACGCGTTCAGGTCGTCCTAAAAGTCGGCAGTACAGAACCTCCCAGTCGGGTTGATACCCACATCACGACTGTTACCCGTTGCATAACTAATCTTATTGTCTTCTCTGACCACGAGTCTGAAATCAAAGGTCATCGCGTACATGATATTCTTGCAACTCTCCCGGACTCCTTCTGGGGGAATACCTCCGACTCCCAGGCATATAGGGCGCTCCAGCACGGAGAATTTGAGACTGTTGAGTCTTCTCAGGGCTGGAAACTTGACAGGTTCAAATTCCTGCCCATGGTCGAACGCGCTTATGAAATGAATCCGACTGCTAAGTGGTTTGTTTTCCTTGAGTCCGATACATACTTAGTGTGGGACAATTTGTTTCGCCTTCTTGACCAGTTTAATCCGTCTCTTCCTTTATACTTCGGCTCCCCGACTTCTGGAAAGGGCCACACCTTCTTCGCCTATGGGGGTTCTGGGTTTGTGTTGTCAACTGCCGCAATCCAGAAACTGGTGGCTCGTAAGGTTGGGAGCAGGAGCATGTACAGTCAACCTCTGTTAAATCAGCGTTATGAGGGGTTGATCAAAGAGGATTGTTGCGGCGATTCAGTACTTGGATGGGCAATCTATCAGAGCGGAGTGAAGCTGTCTGGGATGTGGCCGATGTTCAATCCGCATCCTTTGCATGGGATCCCGTTTAATGAACGGCATTGGTGTCAGCCGGTGATCAGCATGCATAAATTAATCTTAGAAGATATGACTGAGCTGGTGAGGTGGGAGAGACAACGTGGCCGAAAGGTATGATTCCCCCTGGCTCTTTCTGGCCCAGATGTGATATGCCATTGACAACTCCTAATGCTGACAATTCTACAGTTTCCATTGCTATATGCCGACCTGTTTGAGTACACAAAGTTGGGCACCTTTGAACATAAAATGAACTGGGATAATGGTGACTGGGGTGGATGGCAAGAGCCGGCCCGATCGCCCGCCCATAGGTCTCTTGAAGCCTGTAGCAAAGCGTGTTATGAGCATCCCAAGTGTTTCTCATATACCTATAACGATCCTGGTCACTGTGTTTTTGTTCCATCCATTCGACTAGGTGCGCAAAAACCAGCCACAGAGAACACGTCAAGGCTATCAGCCGGGTGGGATCTGGATAAAATCAAGCAGTGGCGGGATACTCACAAGTGCCGAAGACCTCAGTGGGTGAAGCCAAGTACAGACCGCATTTTTTAAAGCATACGTATAGCTACCCCACCCTAGCTGCCTACAGATCCTTTCCGGATATCGACAATCTGATCAAATCACCCTGAATTGGACGGACCCCGATCTGTCGTCCTGATGTCTACAGGACTGTTGAACAGCACCTCAGAAAACCTTATGAGACAATTCGTGATTAATTGTCGTAGAAGCCAGCCAGAGACTTACAAAGAGGCCACAGTCGATAGAAGTCCAGATTGAGGAGCTTGGGGGAGGAGAGTCTGTTTCCATTGGGTAAAGACATCAATTGCTGGAGCGAAAATCTGGACATTGCTAACGGAGATATACATAGAATATAAAGGAGTTAGGG